CTAAACGTCGCATGTCCCTTCCTCCCCGCTCACCCCACCAGAGTCCCAACAGAAGAGCCTGAATTTCTCTTCTCAATATCTGTCCCACGATCGCCTTCGCTGCTGGGTTAAGCCCTGGCTCTATTTCTACGACTAAGAACACTCCTCTCCATCACTATTCTTCGTCTGTCCCGTCTTCCCCGCTCATCCCATTTGGGATCTTACCTGAACTTTCGTTCGTTCGTTCGTTTGCTTGATCTTCAGTTAGTTCCAGACTTTGGAACAGAACTTCTCCAGGCTGAGGGACTGACAACCTCAAATCTACGACTTCAAGGGTGATGGACTGATTACATCGTCTTCACATCTCTACTGCTCCTCCCTGCTTTCTGTACTCGACTGAAGAAGCCTACTGTGTAGGCGAAACGTTTCGGAATAAAGTTGCTTAAATGTTGTCTATGTGTCTTATCTGGGAATCCCAAGTGCAGAGGTCTGACGGAAGTCAAAATCGTCCTGATGGATCCACTATGCTAACCTAGAAGGATGAAAAGCAGATTGCCTGTGACTACACCTGTGCTGCCACATTGGCAGACACCTACTTGCCATACTCCAAAGCTGAAGGGGGTGGAGCTGATAGCCACAGGGAGACCCAGAAGATCCGCAAATATCAAGACCTTCCCCATTGCTATAACTTCATCCCAGTAGGGTCGGAGACCCTTGGAACATGGGGCAAGTGTGCTCTAAAGTTCCTCAAAGAGCTGGGTAAAAAGCTCGTCATAGAAACCAAGGACCACAGGGCGACCAGCTTCCTCTTTTAGAGACTCAGTGTTGCGATCCAGAGAGGAAATGCCTGCAGCATTCTGGGCACGCGGCCCACCGCAGGGGAGCTGGACGAAGTATTCGAGATGTAGCTCTGAGTTACCTATGTTGTTTTACTTTCTGTTGTATTTTTGTGAATGTTTTGCCAATGTATTTTGTCTTTACATAAAGTATCCATAAAATATAGGGGGTGGTAGGAGAAAACAATTTCCGAACAGCTTCAGGGAGAACCTTGAGTTTTCCCTGAAGCAAGTTCATTGTTTTCTTTGAGGATGAGGGTCCCCAGGACAGTTCTAGAGGTGCTACCTCCCTATATTTACACACACACACACACACACACACACACACACACCACACACACACACACACACACACACACATATATATATATATATATATATATATATTATATATATATATATATATATATATATATATATATATGCAAGGAATTCGCAAGAGCAGGCGAACTATACACAAACACTGATCTCTGGCCGAAGGAGACTCGAACCTACGAACCTTGGAACAAGGTACGCAGTGCTATACCTAGAAATGACCCTTGTAGAGCCCCGCTCGTCACAGACGCCCACGCTGACACCTCATTACGTTCCATGACTCGGTGATGTCAGCCCGACAGTATTCCCTGATCCATTGCAGTGTTTTCCCTGTTATACCTGCCTGGTCCTCCAGCTAACGCACTATTCTCTAATATGTGTATGCAAGGAACTCGCAAGAGCAGGCGAAATATACACAAACACTGATCTCTGGCCGAAGGAGACTCGAACCTACGAACCTTGGAACAAGGTATGCAGTGCCTTACCATTCTCACCACACTGGACCAATACCTTGGCGCCCAGCTTTCAGGGAGAAGGCTTACAGCTTTTCATCTCATCCCCTGCATGCATCAGCCTTACTAGAGATTTTAACAATGCAAGGAAACTGCTGCTTATTTAACTCCTGTCTCCCTGGAATGTCATGGTGGCAGCCCTTTTTGATCGTTGCCACACAGCTGGGAATGCCAGAGGCTGCCCAGTATTTCTTTTGGAACTTCAAAGTAGTTTTATGGTTCTCAAAGAGAGTAAACTATTTTCTCCAGGTTTGCAAAAGCCGCTTCATTTCTTATGCTGAATCCCAGCAGCGATTATTTACAGTCAACTCCCTAAGTTCACTTTATAAAATACGTAGGATACCGTGACTGCAACAATAGACAAATAACTCTCATAAGATAGAGGCGCTTACGACGACATTTCGGTCTGACTTGGACCATTTACAAACTTTGACTTTGTAAATGGTCCAAGTCGGTCCGAAACGTCGTCGTAAGCTCCTCTCTCCTATTTGCAGGTTATTTGTCTAGTGCACTTTATATTTCGTTCATTATTAACATACATTTCCCGTCTTGTCATAATTCGTCTGGCTACCACTGATCACCAGCAAACACCTGCAAGAAACGTTCGTTGGTCTTTAATAACTGATAAATGCAGTATATTTCAGGCAGCTTTAAACATAACTTATAACTACTAGCGCAATATTTACAAGAAAAATTAGCTGGAAGCTGTAGTAAGAGAGTTCGCTATAACGTTTATGGAGATTATAACACAGTAAGACAGATCGCTATAACGTTTATGGAGATTATAACACATGATGGTCAGTTATAGATGCAGATGTTAATCTAAATTTCAGTATTACCGCACATGACATTCAATAAAGTTATGACCCGAAGGTAAGATTAGTCAGGAAACATAACAAGTTTTTCCTGAAGCTGGTCTTAGTCATATAATGACTCGCCACTGGAGTTCTTGGACATCTGACCGAAGCCTTCCACTGGCTTACCCGTTCACCACTTTAAAAACTGGTACTAGATCCTAAAAATGTACAAAACTTAACCTATTCAATACTTTTTAACAATAGCTTCGAACATTAGCTTTTAAAAATAACACTAGCAATAGCTTTTTAACAATAGCTTTGAAGCGGTTCGGTATCTAAAGGCAGGAATTCCCAGATTTTAATGCCTTTAAGGAGCATAAAGTTTTTACTCAGGCTGAGTCAGACAATGGAAATATCAAAGGGAATTCCTGTCTTGTGTTATTCCTGAGTTTTGTTGCAGTTGTCAGGGAAGAGTTTAGGAGCAGGGTTTCTAATGCAATTAATTGTCCTATATACATAGTATGCACAGAAATATGAGTGAATATTATGCATATTTGAGTATTATGTATATCTGAAGAGTGGGGGAGTTGTTGTCTGGCACTATAATGGGTACTCGTTCGTACAGCCGTTATTTGTAGAGTTATTATTGGTCTTAGGTGATTTACTGTAGAAGATCCGAATGGACACATACCATTAGCGAGAAATGTTAATGTATATATTTAGTTGAACGCTTGTAGGTTTGGTTCCAAACACCATGTAAAGGATCTTGTCTTTATTAAGAGTGAGTTAATTGGTATTATCTTGGTAAATACCTATATGAGCTCTCCATTAAGAGTGTTACTAAGACAATTCAGCTTTGAGAGCGTTGCTGCACAATCAACAGAGACATGAAAGAGGCTAGTAGGCTGTTGTGAGGTTATCTGATTCATATGTAATATTACCGAGGTGATCACTGGTGTTCTGCTGACCACGGTCAATCCTGTTATGAAGACAGGGGTTTCTACATTGTTCTTTCCTTGGTACCTAATGGAACTGACTGTTGTCAGAATGTTGAGCTAAGGTTCTCGTTCCCTCTTATTCGTCCTGCCCAAACATAACTTTTATGACCTAACTGTAACAAATATTCCTCAGTCAGATCTTTCACCTGGAATTTTGAAGATTTACTCGTGTAAAAAATACCGAAGTCAATATGCATGTTTCCCAGTTCTTGTAATAAGGTGTCTGATGAATCCTCAAAATATTTTTTTAGGATTAACTGTCTATATATCATTGTATTTATCCAAGTTCGGACTAGGCAGATATGAATGAGGTTTATAATATGACAAATGTATAAAGGAGACACTGACATAATCTAAGGTAATTTTATTCCCGAAACGTTTTGCCCACTATGGTTTTGATCAATCGACGAGATTAATCATGAATTGGATTGATGAAATCCTTGGTCGCGAATATCTTACTTTAGACCTGACGGATATGACGAAATAGGCAAAGACAAAATAAATTATAGAGATATATTTATTTTTAAACTAAGATTTAAGGTCGTAGTATAGCAGTTAAATCATTATTTTTCTTTTAATCTCAAAGAAAACTCCTGAACAGTAAATAAATCTTCCTGACAACTGACTTTCAAGATTCCTAACTTTCACGACTCAAGAAATCGTAATGACACGATTGCAAACAAACCATACCCCCGGCCGGGATTGAACCCGCGGTCATAGAGTCTCAAAACTCCAGCCCGTCGCGTTAGCCACTAGACCAGCCACTATGACCGCGGGTTCAATCCCGGCCGGGGGTATGGTTTATTTGCAATCGTGTCATTACGATTTCTTGAGTCATGTTGACGGCAGTGAAGGGACTTGAGCTAGAGTTCGTCACGGCCACGCTAGCTGGAGATTCGTCTGTAAAAACTTGCATTTGTGGTCACAGAGGTGCCTGTGCTAACCTTCCTATGGTGTAGAAATATACCTAGTTGGATGAATCTTATTGTGGCTAGCTGGTCTAGTGGCTAACGCGACGGGCTGGAGTTTTGAGACTCTATGACCGCGGGTTCAATCCCGGCCGGGGGTATGGTTTCCTAACTTTCAGGTTGTGATATCCAGAAAAAAAGAATTCCAGTGGTTTTTATCTAGGAAATGGTATTTTGAATAATTAAATCATTCTCTCAAAATATCTCAGTTCGAAGTGGCCTTTTCATTTTTAATGCTCTTAAATGCACCTTAATTGGCCGGGAAGATGGGTTTTAATGCTACCAAATTATACATGTCATGTAATGTGTTATTTTGATTAGAAATCAGTTTTTATTTAAGTTTAATTATAGAAGATTTGTAAATAACATTTTTTTTTTGTAACCTCGTAGGCTGTCACATGCATATCATAAACAAACTGTCTAATAACAAATACAACAAATGAATATTAAAAATGAGAGGCATATCGCAAGTAGATTATCATGATTTAAAAGACTGTCAGCAAGATTTTCAGAGTTACCTCTGAAAATCTTGCTGACAGTCTTTTATAATCATGAAAATTTACTTGCAGCAGGGTGGATAAATACATTTTTGCAGGCCATGTTACCACTGTTGCGTCAGGCAGCGAAGGGTTGTGAAGGTTGTCTCAGCGTTCAAAGAGCAGCAGTGATCAATGTCTCCACTAATGCCTCCAGCATGGGACGCTTCACTTTCAACCCTGACATTTACGGCTACCGTGCCAGCAAGGTGAGCAGTGTTACCTGTAATTAAAAAAACAATTATGTTACTAATGTAGTAACTACCAGGAACATATATAACATTAATATTTGTATACCAAGAATTTCACTGCAGTTAATAAGAGTTCTCTATAATGTTATTAACAGTCCAGTGTAACCATGCACGAGTATAACAATGTAAATGTTGCATATCACACATGAATATAATTATATAAATGTACCCTGATTTTCTTCCGGTCCGGTTATCGTACAATTCAGTTTTCGACCACATTTTTCTGTGAAATTTTCCCACTGCTTTCGTACATCCCCTCGGAAATCGTCTGTACCAGATGTTTTCTCCTGCCCGCAGGACCTGACCGCTCTCACGTTCGTGACTCAGTCTGCCTTTATTACTCGTTCAGTAGGCAATACTCTGCGTGTTCATCCGAAACATTTCATAATAATCCACTTTTTTGTGCTTGCGACTGCTAAATAAGCCACCATGAGGCCAAAGAAAGTTCCGAGTGCCAGCCCTTTGGTAAAAAAGGTGAGAAACATAATAGAATTCAAGAAAGAACTTAGAAAAATACGAAAGTGGCATACATGTGGCCGACATTGCCAGGATGTACGGGAAGTCCAAATCAATGATAAATTCCATCCTGGCGATGAAAAAAGAAATCAAGGAAGCTGATGTTGCAAAGGGGTAAATGTGCTAATGAAACGGATCGCACACAATCGAAGATGTTGAGAAGTTGTTGGTGTGGATTAACCAAAAACAGTGGGAGATTGCGTTGTGGAGGCGATAATTTGCGAAAAGGCAAGAATCTTGTAAAGAAAATGCCTGGAATGAGTGCTGCTGCTAGTGAATTTAAGGCCAGCAAAGGCTGGTGCGACAGATTCAAGAAGCAAAGTGGCATGGTGAGTCTGCAAGTTCGGACAAATGTGGGGGCTGAAGAATTCGTTGATAAATTCACAAAGTTACGTGTGAGGCTGAAGGATTCCTCCCTTGTGATGAAACATTACTATTTTGGAAGAAAATGCCAAAGAGGACTTACATCATGCAGGAGGAAAAGGCACTGCGAGGACAAGCCTATGAAGGATAGGCTAACTCTTGTTTCATACGCCAACAAGACTCTTCAATTAAGGTAAAAGTGATGTTAAATGTTCATTTATCCATTTCATTAGTCATTTATATTTCTCATTGTTTTCTGCCTGTAAAACTATAGTTATTCTCTATAAAATGTATTTTTTGTTAATATTTTTGAGAGTCTGGAACGAATTAATTAGATTTACAGTATTTCTTATTGGAAATATGACTTCAGTTTTTGTACTAATCGGTTTTCGGCTGTTACGAACATAGTCAGTTGGTCCCTGGGTTACAGTGCTTTTCTTAACCAACTTAGCACGTCTAGGACTCTTCACTCGTAGAGGAAAAGGAATTTTCTTGGTTTCTATTTAATTTATTAATAACCATAATAACCATTAAAGTCGAGTAAATCCAGTTTAGCTACTAATGGATTTACTCATGAATATAATATTAAGTGAAATAGCAAAAATAACATGTAAAAGTATACCATTGTGATAATACCAAGTAGAAAATGTACTTAAAATGGACGAAAGGGTGTAACATCGGCCGATCTTCTGGATCGGATTAAAGACGAAAACCGGGGTTCCAGTGTATATATCATACACGAGTATAATTACATGAATGATATCTATCATACACGAGTATAACTACGTGAATGAAGTATATTATACACGAATTTACCTACATAAATAATGCATAGTTATAGTCAAGCATTATCTCGTAAAAAAAGAAGAGTTATTTGAGAGTTATTATAAATTCTTCTTCTTCTTGTATTATTATTATTATTATTATTATTATTATTATTATTATCATTATTATTATCATTATTATTATTATTATTATTATTATTATTATTATTATTATTATTATTATTATTTTATTATTATTGTTATTATTATTATTATTATTATTATTATTATTATTATTATTATTATTATTATTGTTATTATTATTATTATTATTATTATTATTATTATTATTATTATTATTATTATTATCATCATAGCATTACTATTATATTTGACTTTTCTCCCATGTGCCTAGAAATGAGAAATAATTAGCTTAATCCGAGGAATTCAAATTCCTTATATCAATTACCTCTTTAAAGGTTCTGATGATAGATGTACTGTCAAGCGAGGCTGAGGAACCAGAAAGAACCCTGAAAGAAGACATTATGATTTTTATCAGAGACTTTGCATCAATACAAAGATTCATAACACCACAGGAAAAGATCTGCTCTGTTTTGCAGAGAATCATGAAACCACAGAGCATAATCTGCTCTGTTTTGCAGAGAATCATGAAACCACAGAGCATAATCTGCTCTGTTTTGCAGAGAATCATGAAACCACAGAGCATAATCTGCTCTGTTTTGCAGAGAATCATGAAACCACAGAGCATAATCTGCTCTGTTTTGCAGAGAATCATGAAACCACAGAGCATAATCTGCTCTGTTTTGCAGAGAATCATGAAACCACAGAGCATAATCTGCTCTGTTTTGCAGAGAATCATGAAACCACAGAGCATAATCTGCTCTGTTTTGCAGAGAATCATGAAACCACAGAGCATAATCTGCTCTGTTTTGCAGAGAATCATGAAACCACAGAGCATAATCTGCTCTGTTTTGCAGAGAATCATGGAACCACAGAGCATAATCTGCTCTGTTTTGTAAAATAACTTTCGAATAGCCTAGAGTACTTTAGTGTGGTGCTATACGAGCTTTTAGGCCAGTCAAATGGCAATCAGAAATGATGCCTGAAGTGTGTATCAATGGATTTTTTGTTCAACTTACATTCCCAACACAAGAACGTATGTACAGAATATTTACAAATATGGAGATGTCAGGGATGTCCAGCAGACGACACAGTTGTTATGATGTGAGACAGTCACCATCATGAGAGGCTCTGTTAAGTAAGGCACATGTGCGGTATTTAGGTATCATCATAAAGATACATAAATGTTTCTACTTGTCGGTATTAAATACCATTATGACAGGAGAGGTTCTGACGGACTGACGTGTTCCTTCAAGAATTAAGAGGCACAATACAGTGACTGGAACAATACACAAATAACGCGCACATTGGAGAGAGGAACTTATGACGACGTTCGGTCCGTCTTGAATCATTTACAGTCACACAAATGGTTCAAGACGGACCGAAACGTCATCGCCGTTTCGAATTAAAAAAAATCGAAAAAATACGATAAGTGAGCGAATGATATATAGAAAAATAGCTTAACTCTTTAGTAATACAATGATACAAGAATCATTGTTGTATGATGCCCCTACAAGGAATTATAGTCATTTATATCATGTATAATGACACCACCACTCGTACAATGTCGGCTCACATGCTGTAAAAACTATTTATTTTTTTCATTTTCTTTTCCTAGTTCTTGTAATATTTTTACAATAAAATAATTGAGGGTTTGGCATCATAAGAGAGTGAGTGAAGCTAATACACAGTCTGGGAGTCAGTCACTGGGATATAATGCATCGTCTGCCGGTTCTTTGGTTATCATATGGAGTGATTTCACTGTGCAGATTTTGGACTAGGCTCTCCAGGAATTTCCAGGTGTAAATTATGACGTATCTTTCTCGCCTGCGTTCCAAGAAGTACAGGTCAAGGGACTTTAAACGGACCCAGTAATTGAGGTACTTGACTGTACTAAGTGCAGTGAAAGTTCTCTGTATATTCTCCAGGTATGGAATTTTGCAGTAATAGTATGCAGCAATATTCTAGGCTAGAGAAAACAACTGACTTATTGTTAGGTAAGACACATATGCAACAGTTAGACAACTTTATTCCGAAACGTTTCGCCTACACAGTAGGCTTCTTCAGTCGAATACATAAAGTAGGCAGGAACAGTAGAGATGTGAAAACGATGTAATCAGTCCATCACCCTTGTAGTCGTAGAATTTGAGGTTGTCAGTCCCTCGGCCTGGAGAAGTTCAGTTCCATAGTCAGGAACTATCTGAAGATCAAGCGACAGTGCGGAGACTTAAATACTGTCGGAAGGAGAGGTGCAGGGTAGTAGTAGTAGTAGTAGTAGTAGTAGTAGTAGTAGTAGTAATAGTAGTAGTGAGAGGCAACTGAGAGGTCATGTCCCTCTCAGATCCAACACTTCTCACTTGAAAAGCTTGTCCAAGGTGTTTTCTGTACCAAGATGCCATGTGTTGCACTGTCGCTTGATCTTCAGATAGTTCCTGACTATGGAACTGAACTTCTCCAGGCCGAGGGACTGACAACCTCAAATTCTACGACTTTAAGGGTGATGGACTGATTACATCGTTTTCACATCTCTACTGTTCCTGCCTACTTTATGTATTCGACTGAAGAAGCCTACTGTGTAGGCGAAACGTTTCGGAATAAAGTTGTCTAACTGTTGCATATGTGTCTTACCTAACAACCTGTCGGTATTGTATACCATTTTGATGTACAACTGATTTATCATTGGCTTGACATCCCTTGTTCTGAAGCTGTAATACATCAATGTGAATAACTTTCATGTGTATAAGTCTTTAAATTAGTATGTAACTACAACCATTTCCAAATTATTAGCTTCATAAGAGCAGTTCAGTTACACTTGAGTCAGTAATAATAACTTCTACGTATTTTAGGTAGCCGGTATTTATATAAAAAATAATTTACCACTTTTTATGTAAGTATAGATCATCATCTTTTAAAAAACAACCAAAATCTTCCTCCATAAGCCGAGTGTGTCGTAATAGGCGCCTCCATAAGCCGAGAGTGTCGTAATAGGCGCCTCCATAAGCCGAGAGTGTCGTAATAGGCGCCTCCATAAGCCGAGAGTGTCGTAATAGGCGCCTCCATAAGCCGAGAGTGTCGTAATAGGCGCCTCCATAAGCCGAGTGTGTCGTAATAGGCGCCTCCATAAGCCGAGAGTGTCGTAATAGGCGCCTCCATAAGCCGAGAGTGTCGTAATAG